TCAATAGAATAAAGTTTTGTTATATACTGCAAGGACAATTTTATACGGCGTTGTGTAGAGATGGTTCATCTGCCTCTACGTAGAGACTGTCAACAGGAGAAGTTCTGAAGGACCCAAGACAAAGTCTTAGACCTTGGTGATGGACAAAATCTAATAGTTTTAGGTTGCTTTTGCTGGCTCCACCATATACATTGGAGCCATAATCAAGTTTTGAACGGACCAGTGATCGATATAGATGGAGGAGGATAGCTTGATCCCCTCCCCACTTAGAATTGGAAACGACTTTCAACAAGTCAAGTGCCTTCAGGCATTTAGTTTTAAGGGACTTGCTATGTGGAAGAAAAGTTAGATGTGAGTCAAAACTTAAACCCAAGAACTTGGCCTCCTTAACAACTTTGATGGGAGAGCCATTTAGAAACAGTTCAGGTGCTTTATGCGGTTTATATTTCCTACACAAATGTATACAATTATTTTTAGATTTAGAAAATTTAAAACCGTTTTCAAGACACCATTTATCTATTTTGTTTAAACACAACTGCATTTGCCGTTCAATAGTATGCATATTCTTACCACGACAAGAAATATCAAAATCATCCACAAAAAACGATCGATCAATTGAATCGTTTAAAACTTTTGACAAACTATTTATATTTATACTAAAGAGTGTGACAGACAAAATACTGCCTTGTGGCACACCCTGATCCTGATTGTAATGATCAGACAGGGTAGAACCCACACGGACTTGAAACTGTCTGTCAGTTAAAATGTTGGCTATAAATTGAGGCAAGCGGCCTCGCAATCCAAAGCCATGTAAAACTTTTAAAATGCCATATTTCCACGTAGTGTCATATGCTTTTTCTAGATCCAAAAGGATAGACACAGCGTGCTGTTTATTAATTAGAGCGTTTTTAACAAATGATTCTAAACGCACCAAGTGATCGACAGTACTTCTGTTTTTACGGAAACCACATTATATATCTGTTATTAGGTTATTGGTTTCCAAGTACCAAACAAGTCGATTATTTATCACGCGTTCCATGGTCTTGCAAACACAGCTAGTTAGTGAAATTGGCCTATAATTGGAAGGATCAGTATGATCACGTCCAGGTTTAGGGATGGGCACAATTATAACATCACGCCACGTCGAAGGAAATTGTCCAGATGTCCAAATGTCATCAGAAATACGTAAGAGCGTATCTAAACATGATTCAGGTAAGTGTTTCAGGAGTTGATAATGTATACCATCAGCTCCTGAAGCAGTATTTTGACCTTGGTAAGAACAGTATGAAGCTCATGTATCGAAAAGGTTTCATTGTAGTCTTCCCCATTATCTGAATTGAAATGAATAGATTTCTTTTCTTGCTGTCTTTGATATTTCTGGAATGAATCTTGGATGAAGTAATAAGGATGGTACAGTCATATTTTCCAAGACATTTATCTGTGAAATGTCTGGCCAACTCAGCCGACTTAACTACCCTCTGAGACAGACTGTCATGATCAGAGCATTAGGGAAATGAGTGGTAGCACCCGACAGGAAGATGGCGTCTGTGGAGGTGTCTGCGACTACAAAGCATGGTGCTGATGGATCGGTATTGAAGTTCACTTATTCGAGTTAAACAAATCTATTTTTCAGTGAGGAGAAAATAAACTACTTTGTTTAGTTTGCAGACTGATGGAAAATCATTCGTGTCTTCATCAGAAACCAATTAAACCTTGTGTTGCGACTTGTGTGGTTACAGGTTTGGTGTGATACTTCATGAGTTTGGGAATTTTCCCATGTTTATATTCCAGGGAATACTTCAGCGAGACGTTTACTAAATAACAGCATTTTCATTCTGGTCCTGGGTATTTATCTAGCCACATCAAGACGTGAGCTTTCAGCTAAGTGAAAAGTAACATTTTAAAGTTATGTGTTACTTGAAATTCTATCGTTTGCTAACGTATGTTGCGTATGTTTTCGTTTGTTCAGATCGATATCATTTCTCGATCTATCCACACGGCAAATATATTTTCCTAAAATTTCCCTTTGCATACTTACTAACTGATTCAGTCACAATGACGTATTACTGTTTGTATAAGAAAAAGTATAGCAGGAGGTTAGGGGAAGAGGTAAGGGAGTAGGAGGTTTGGCGTATAGGGTAGGAGGGATAAACAATTGAAATAACAAATGCTACAAATAACTTATCGGTATTGAACACATTGTAAGTATATAATAACCAGCGCTATGTTATTGTATTATCTAGTATTCTTGTTAAGTGACAAGTGAAGGTCCGGTTTAGAATATTGGCCTTCAGTAACCCATGCTTGTCGTAAGAGGCGACTAACGATTATTTATTTACAGAACGCCGCCATATAGCTGGAATATTGCTGAGTGCAGCGTAAAACTAAACTCACTCACTCACTAACTCTTGTTAAGCGACGATTATTTCGTCATGGTCCGTGATTGAAATCATGAGCATCTATCAACGCCATGGTCAGTGACATGCATCAACCAGGTCAGCGAACCTGACCATCGGATCCGGCAATCGTCTATTACAACAAGAATGGGTTGCTGAAGATCAATGCTAACCTCGATATTCACGGGGATGCTTGTCACAAGGAGTACTGGTTTGATTTCCCATCAAGAACTATAAATGCAAGACCCGTTCCAGGTGACTCTTATCGTGTCAGACAGACTCTTTTATTAGCCTATTTATACACTATGAATACACCCATACACGGTTTCAACATTAGCTATCAGAGAAGACCAGCCATCATCCGTATCCCAAGGGGTTAATTGACTAGTCATTTTGATCGCGGGATTTAGCACCGTAAAAAATCTGAGTTGAATAGTGTGGTTTGTCCTTCATAAATCGACTTAAACGACACATTAGCGTTGTAAATAGAAAGGACTAAAATTTGACATTAAATTCCTCCATGTATAAAGATCGATCGTCGACGGTGTTGGTTTTAAACAGCGTTGGCTGATTACAAATATTGATTTTCATTCTATGTCGAGTTATCGGTTGAAGTTTAGACACAAGAAGACCAAGCAATAACATAAAACATTCATTTTTATACAGAAAGAAGACTAAAGTGGCAGAAAAGTATTAATTGTCTGCATATTCCGTTTTTCTCCTTTCGTCAGCTTATAGAAGCGAGAGTGTTTCAAGATGATACTGATCATGCTGTAAGAAGGAATGCGATGGAATCTGACTGGAGAACTCTCCACTTCATTCGACAGGACACCACTTGCATACTGAAATAGGGTCTTCACTTGGCAACATTCCAATGATATCTTTGTTTAAAAAGACGAAATGTTCCAGAAATAAGCTGCCAAAAATATAAAAGTAACTCTTTTCACAATAAAACCCAATAAAATTGAGGAGCTGGAGGCTATTAAATGTGTTGTGAATTTTCTTTATCGTTTGGTACTTCCTTTCACAGAAAACATGCTTGTTTTGAAGCAGTGATCTGGAACTAAACTCCCTTACCCGCCCTTGGCAAAGGCTTCGAACAAAATTTCAGTTATATGTTTTATCAGCATAATGAGTGTTGAACATGACCGAAGTGACACACATCTGCCGCTCACATCTTGAATAACAAGTTACGTCATTGAGGCACGATGACACTGAAAAACAGGCTGACAAGTTGTGATCACACAATCTCCTTTCAAGGCAGCTCTAACCAAGAGGTACTGATTGAGTGAGCGAGTGAGTGAGTGAGTGAGCGAGTGAGTACGGTTTGACGCCATTTTATTTCAAGCAGCATCCTTTTCGGGGGCACCAAAAATAGGCTTCACAGATGTGCCTCGAAACCTACTATATGTGATGATCTGGGTTAGAATTGGTCTTCAGCAACCCATAATTGTCGTAAAAGGCGACTAACGGGATCCGATGGTCACACTCGCTGACTTGGTTGGTATCCCAAACTGTGTAGATCGACGCCCATGATGTTGATCACTGGGTTGTGTGGTCCAGACTCCATTATTTAAGGACCTCAGCCACATAGCTGGCGTTGAACAACAAACAAACGATACGGCCACCCTTTGCCAACTCCGTATGTGCTGTGGTTTCTTACATTTTCACTTTTTTCAGCCATTGTGAATGTTTTGAAATTTATCTGCGTTCAAGTAAAGCTATATTTCTCCAGAAGTCATTAATTTTGTAAATACGACCCATGTTCAATCAAGGCCTGCAGTACATATAGGTGATTTATATGTCAGCGCTCTTAACCCAATAGAATTGATTTTCTTCATTACAAGTCACCTATATAAGTAAACTGTAATTTAGAACGGAGAAACAATTGTTTTTCAATTGACAATTCAGTTCAGCACTACTTGTATTTACAAGAAATGAGAGATGATCAATAACAGAAAATTGTTTATGTGTTTTTTGTAAGACTAGTGTATTGAACGAATTGATTGTCACATTCTAAGGCTGGTAGTTCGTGAAGTAGGACAACCCCTTCAAGTTTGGGAACCAGCATCGGTAACTGTTTTTATTCATTTTTATGATCGTGTGGTCGTTAATTTGTTTAAAAGAATGTTAAAGTGTGTCAAGGCGGTTTAGCATCCAAATGGTTAAAGGTTCTTCATGTTGCACCGAATACCTTGGTTTCTTTCTCAAAATGCGACGATTAGCCAAGGTGAAGCAGCTCAAGCATAAATGCGTAATTTATGATACTTGATAGACCAAGTATTTTTATCGGCCGAATCCGAGATACCATGTTGTACAAGCCTAATGCTCGAATATATCAATAAGCATGTTTCCATAGTCGTGAGATTCTCTGCTGAAAAGAAGAGAAATGCACGTCTGATGTAGGTCGTACATGTTTACTAGGGGTGGATGATAGCCTTATGAAAACAGATCTCCCAAACACACCATTTCATTTATGATACTGTCATGTTTCAGCATGCATTTTTAGGTTGTATTTTGGTAGGGGGATGATGTCAATGTGCTAAACACACCATTTCATTTATAAAGTCTTTGGTTCTCAAGTTGAAGTTGAACACAGTTGAACTTCATACTGTCAAGGGAGATCTAAGGAGAATGCCTTTTGTGTGAGTACGTTTCTGGTTTCTTTAGCAAAGTTAAATATGTAAATTTATCACTTGGTGTTGAGGATTATGAAAATATTTGTCTTTTAACATTGTTACTCGCACACACTTTGGGTAGCAGTTTTGGTGTTATTTTTCTAAGAATGTTATTGTGTTAGATGTGTTGACACGACATGTTATGGTTGTCACCACGTGGCTAGCAAGCAGGTATTTTATTATTTCAGACTTGGGGGGAAAATTGCTCCCACTTCTGGTTTTCCTAGTCAAGAGTTCAAGATATAAGGCAGTACTACACTATTCTGGATGACAACAACAGAGCTGTTACACATCGTATACAGGATTACATCCATGGACTATTTTGTTGTGGACATTCTGTGTTTATGGACCATCAGTGAACTTGTGTGTACTTTTGACCATTGTTTGCCTCGCCATCTGAATGTAATTGGATGTTTATTTGTGCTGATTAGTACAACATACCCTGATTACCAATATTATCTTGTGGAGAATGTCACTGTTTCATGCTACTGTTTGTGAAGTGAGGCTGTAATGTAATAAACATATTTGGCCTAAACAGCTTTTATTTCCCGTTTGTAGTAATATGTGCTGAATATCCATTGGGTCTACTTTTGATTTGTGACAGATACATAGCCATTATGTTGAAATATATGTCGGGTGTTCAGGCTCGGTGGCTTTGTTGGGTGCAAGGCAGTTTCCCCGACGGCACTGGACCCAACATACCCATCACTACTGGTTTGGTGAATATATTTACACGAAAGCAGGACGACTTGCACCTTGAAAGAACAAACAAATCAACAGAAACGAAGCCGCAGCATCTTGTATTCTTCGGGACGTCACATCTTCCACAACGCCATCACGTCACCCTTGACCCACAATCTTGAAGGTCAACTTCAGAATGGATTAGCTCTGTAGCAGTGGCGTCGTGAAATCACCTTTGAGGCCTGGCCTCATTTTTGCTTTGTGTTATTTATCGATAAGTCCTCCTGGCTATGGGAGCACCCATTTCTGATTATTACCACAGTATCAGCTGATATCACACATTCACCGGATGCTGGTCAAACCCTTGCCTTGTAAACAAGATCTGTTCATGAAGACAAATCGAACGTCATTCGGGATTAGTTATATACTGAAATGCAAAAGAATCGTCGCAATATTGCACATGACATTTAAGTATCAATGGAGTATTCGAACCTATTTTTTTTAATGTACACCAGAAGTCAAGTTTGAGGAAAACATGAATCGTGGTCGTATAGAATGTTTTGCCCAATAAAATATTGTATGAGATTGAGGTTTGAAATGTTTTGGTTTGTGGAAAGGGAAGAGTTCGCACAAACACAACATTGAAATCGAGATACCGGCTTTTATGACAATCGTTCACTTGTTTTCTAAATACAGCAGCAATGGCTAGGTTAACGAGAGGTGTTGATGGACGATATGACGGTCCTGGCGACGTGTTGTTACACGGGGTCGACCACTACGTGGACGGTCATCAGTGCTGTTGGTGGCGTATGGTCGCTGTCTAAGACGTTCTATCGTTCGTACGCTACAATTGAAGTCATAAGCAATGACTCGAGCACGTTGACCAGCGTCTAAACGTCCAATGGGTCGTTGTTGTTGTTGATCTCTCGTTAACCTAGCCATAGCTGCTGTTCCGAAAACGGGGCGGTGGGGTAGCCTAGTGGTTAAAGCGTTGGCTCGTCACGCCGAAGACCCGGGTTCGATTCCCCACATGGTCACAATGTGTTAAGCCCATTTCTGGTGTCCCCCCGCCGTGATATTGCTTAAACAAGAACGAGGATTATCGCTGTGAACACTTGGTTTCAACACAATTTCAGTGACTAATATAAACACATGCTCATGATTAAATCTGTACCTTAAAATTGACACCTTCCATCAGACATTTCTCAGGATTATAGACGTAGGTTTGAATAGTTTATTCGATTAAATATTTACACAGATACTGCTGTCTGCCTTGAGCTGTCGGTGCTGAAATGTGTCTGGTGCAATTCCTCTGCATACATGTAGAACATGATTTTCACTTGAAGACTCGGTTATTATAAAATGCAATCTCCTTTGGGACATTGACTAAGAATTATCCCTGAAATGAAAATCCTGTACAAGAATCCAAAGCTGTATTTACAGCAATGTACTGAATTTAGAGTCTGAATTTTTGTAATCTCACGCTAGACTTTACACTCACGCTAGACTTTATACTCAATAACATCTATAGAATTATTGTTATGTGTAATTGTGTCTGAATACATGTATCGTTAAAACCTTAGATAACCCGACTGTGCCCTTGAGATTACTAGTCCCTTCCAACGACATGGCAGCTGTCGTCATTGGAATGGAAGCAATGCCTCCAATTAACAGATGAGTATTCCCCCAGGGCATCAATTCCGCAGTGATACACACTCGTTTCACATTATAAGAAACAACTTAAAGCCTAATCACGTGTTACTTTAAGTCACGTGTTACTTTAAGTCTTCCAGTCTTTGGATATCTGTCGATGGCTACCTTGAAACCAGCAGGTAATCTTACACCTAATGAATGAAAATGAGAATTAATGCATTTCCCATTGGCACAGATAATAAACAGACCACGACTCTTGGCACCTTGCAATAAACTGAAAGATCGATGGAGTTGCAAACTGGTCGGAATGCTGATCATGTGACGATTCTTGGTCATGGTGACCCGGAGTTTAGGCTGCTATGTAGGGCATGCGAGTCTGTTATCAGACTTCCGCTTCCTGTTGCACGGACAGGCAGACTGCAGGACCAAAGAAAGTACACACCCATGTTTGAAGATAGTTTAACATGAAGCAAACACGAACCGGTTACACTGTTCTGGGCGACTGTTTCAGACTTTAACTGTTGTTAATATTTAACTTGTTTGAGACCCGTGAAGGTCTGGTCTAGAATATTGGCCCTCAGTAACCCATGCTTGTCGTAAGAGGCGACTAACGGGATCGGGTGGTCAGGCTCACTGACTTGGTTGACACATGTCATCGGTTCCCAATTGCGCAGATCAATGCTCATGTTGTTGATCACATGATTGTCTTGTCCAGACTCGATTATTTACAGACCGCCGCCATAAAGCTGGAATATTGGTGAGTGCGGCGTGAAACTAAACTCACTCACTCACTAACTTCTTTGAGAGGCGTTTAGTAGTTGGAGCATTAAGGAAGGATAACAATATATGGATGAAGAACTTCTTACTGTGAGAGCGACGTTTCGATGTAGGTTCTAACACCGTTATCAAGCAAGTGATGAACAGCATGAGAATAGAGAAGCATATATACAATTTAGAGGAGATGTTTATAAAGTACAATAGGGGATGAGGAAGCCAGACACAATAAAAACACGTGGCCTTTGATAAAAGCGTTAATAAGTGAAGCCTGCAGTATACACAGGGAGTGAGTGAGTGAGTTTAGTTTTACGCCGCACTCAGTAATATTCCAGCTATATGGCGGCGGTCTGTAAATAATCGATTCTGGACCAGACAATCATGTGATCAACAATGAGCATTGATCTACGCATTTGGGAACCGATGACATATGTCAACCAAGTCAGCAAGCCTGACCAACCGATCCCGTTAGTCGCCTCTTACGACAAGCATGGGTTACTGAAAGCAGATTATAACCCGGACCTTCACGGGTGTATACACAGGGGGATAGTAAAGCCTGTAGTATACATAACGGAGGGGGGGGGGGGGAGGGGAGGTCATCGATGATCAGGATCTTTCATGATAGTATGCAGGAGGTATGTAATTGGTCATGGTTGATTGTTGTTAATATTTGTATTTCTTCATATTTATTCCAATTCGACGCAGTTGTGTCCGGCAGTTGTTGCACACATACATAGGTCTTGTCATGTCAAACCATATCGAACACAATGATTGTTAAATCAAATGTGACTCAAGGTCCACAGAAAGCGAGCGAGTTTTATTTTTGTCCGTATCCAACAATATTCTAGATTTATCGTGGCAAACTAAAATAAATAAAAACCATAAACTTTGTTGGTCACATGTAAGAAATTGGTCACCTTTTGTTAATAATGATATCTCCCCGAGTGACTGGATGTCAGATTTCAAGGATCTTTTTAATGGACTTAATATGTTTCAAGAAGAACTTGACTTCTATAATTTTGTTGAAAGATGTGTTCACTCAATAGATGGTAATTTGATTGAAATTACCTATCATATGAATATGGACAACCTAGACAAAGATATATCATTTGAAGATATACTTATTGCTATTTCAGATATGCAGGGGAAAGCTCCTGGTTTCAATGGGGCTATTGGTAGAGTTCTTCAAATATGCACCTAGACAATGTATTGAGCACCTGAGAGTTTTGTTTAATGCCATTTTGTCAACAGGCGTGGACTGTAGGTGTTATTATCCCCTTGCACAAAAAACGTGATAGAAACTCTTCCTCTAACTGTAGACCTATTACCTTGTTAGATGTAGCTGGTAAAATATATATTCTCCAAAGTTATTTGTACAGACTATCAGCGTGGGCTGAAGAGAACGCACTGCTTGTTCCAGAGCAGGCTGGGTTTCGGAGAGTTGTCCAAACATGTGACAACATATTTGTATTGGAAACAATCGGAAACAATCGTAATTAAATATTTATCTCTACATAAAGGACGGGTGTATTGCGCTTTCATTGACATAAAGGCAGCGTTCGACATCAAGGGTAGGGCATTTAGGTTGATACAGAACATGTACAGCACTGTTAGGTCTGGCGTCTCTTTAAACGATGTACTCACTGATTTCTTTGATTGTCTCTTTGGTGTGTAAGCAAGGGTGTCAGATGTCCCCGTTATTATTTTCATTTTATGTAAATGAATTATTGATTTCATCGGAAATAGTAGCAATAAATCTATTGAAATACTAGTAGGTATTTTGCAGATATTCATGTTATTTGCAGACGACATGGTGATAACGGAAACATGTCATTTGGTTACAGAGGTTACATAAACTAGGTGAATATTGTAATAAATGGCAACTGAAACTTCACAAGACTTCATGGTTTTCAGGAAGGCCGGAAGGTTGAGAAAGTATGAGAAGTTATATTTTAACGGCTGCAAGATGGAGATTGTCTCCAGCTATAAGTATCTAGGTGTTCATTTCTCCAACACAGGACCCTGGTCAGTCGCCCAGCAGACACTGTCTCAGCAAGCCCTTGAAGCTCTTCGTATCGTCAGGTCTAGTGTTCATAACTTAATAAATAAAATAATCAATGCTTTGCTTATTTGCCATACAATATTCTCTATCATATTTTTTATGTTAAGATATTGTACGGTGCGGAGATCTGGGGGTTTCATCCATCACTATGCATATCACGTGTTCATGATTTTTTTGTAAATAAGTCTTACATCTGGGAAAATTCACTCCGAATCTTGTCGCTAGAGGTGAGTTAGGTCGTCATTCATTAGAAGTTAATCTGTTTGTTAAGATTATAAATGTTGGGTTCGTGCGTTGAAGCTGGTGGATAATGTAATGACCAATCACTTGCTGAGAAGGGACTTAGCTGTTGGGCACTCCAAGTTAAGAGGCTT